ACTCTTAAGTACAATCCTCCTTCAGCCAGAAAGTAGCCATGCGATTGTGTGTTTGGGTAAGTGCTTTCAAGGTTGTAGCCACTCTTAGGACATTTCAAGATCTCCAATGGACTAGCTGTAGAGCACAAAACTGAGTACCCAGTCAACGCATGGTGTCTAATAAGAACTCATTTGTGCTGGTGTGTGGTTTAAATGAAACACTACCGCATCAGATGTATCAGTCACCGTGTTACATCTCCCTTTCCAACATAGATATTTTCCCACTGTTGCCACGAATCCAGCGTACAGTCTTGCGCCCATAGCAAATATCGGAACTTACCGAATTGGCGTGTGATGCAAAGAAACGGGGACCACGCTGCGCACCTTAAATCATGGTAATATTCGTCAAATACATTGTTAAGTTACAATAATGTTTATAGTCGTCAGACGTCTTCCTTGGTAACCTTCCCATTCACACTATTTGATAGTATAAAAGATGCATGGAGGAATCTATGTGCAAACACGAATAAAAAGGCGTGGCTATCGAACAATGCGCACGCAAGAACTGTGGGGAATGTCAAAGGATTTTAAACCCCTCAGCTTCTTTATACCATACATGGTAGAACCATAGTCTTAGGTTGTCGTCAAACATCAACTCATAAACTGCGTAAGCTGCCACCAGATTTGTATGGGTTATACCGTGCACGCAGTACTCAGCCTATTTATTTATACGGAAGGCCTTGCAGAGCCGCTTACACAATACAGCACACGTAGCCTCCTTGAAGATGGTTCTCAGCGCACATGTGTCGTAGGCTTTAATCTTGTGCCCTGGAGAAAACGAACCAAAGCATGGTGCCATGCAAGCAATGCTCTTAGCGGATTATCGTACTTTCTGTTCGCGAAGCACCATAATTCTGTTAAGATTGACCCAATAGAGTGCGAAAGTCACTGACGACATTCTTTGCTGTGACTTCCACGATAGAGCGGTCTGCCACTAGCAAATTGGGCAGTGTAAATACCGGTGCTCATAGATTCAGAGGATAGCAACCAAAAGCGCTCGACGTGTCACCTCATTTAATCGTGCCATGCGTAAATCGGATATTTGTTTCGTGCTATCAGTTCCGGATATGCAATGACAACCTAGACGTGAAGCACTATGAAGTGTTAGACATAGCCTAGCATCAAAACTGCAAGCATAGTAGCACCAATTCTTGTGGAGCCAAAGGTCCACTTGCAGCGGTGGTATCTTCAAGGCATTTCAAGGTTCAACAGAATAACGTACTCGTAGTTACTTTTTTACAGCAAAAGAAGCCGCTTTTACGGCTTTCAATCTACTTCTTTCATATCATGAGCATATTACTAGATATAGACCCACACAACCCTAGCACGCTAATCTCCTGGAGCGACTCAGGCACGCTCTCTATTTGACAAGCTAAGGTAGCAAGTACAGCGAATAATAGCTAAGCCACATTTGCGACACACAGTAGATATAACTTCTGCTCTTGTTGGTGATAGACAAGTGCACCCCTAACATCTACATTTTGACGGCTGATGCCTTCCAGTGTCTTCGTCACGATGGAACACGAGCAACCTTAATCGTGTACACGCAATGCACAACTCGCTATGTGATCTTCTCGAGCAACAGCCGTTGAGTTGGCGTATTGGGGCAGAGCGCTCCATTATGGCTTTTTGAGACACTTACAACGTGCTGCGATGGAATGTGTTTCAAAACGATTAACTGCCCGTACGCCTTACTCTCAACAGCATTTCTGTACGTAATGCCCACTATGCGCATATCCTGTATAGCTGGTTCTATTGCCTTCAGCTTGTGCTGCACAGCATCGTGCTATACTAAGTTTGACTAGGCAAGGGCTCACTTCCTGCAATAGCGCCAGGCGCGCGCTTTGACGTAAATAATACTAGTGCAAAATAAGCGGATCTAGGCGCCTGCAGACAGGGGCATACCGCACGATTAGGTCGGACATGCTGCCTACCTAGACCCAGCGGGTGTTGATGCTTTTTGTCCCAGTTTTTGAGCAGTCATTTTTGGCATATTGCTCGCGTGATACTAACGTTGCCAAAAAACTTTACAAGAGCTCCAGACCAATGGCAATCGATCCACTTTTGGAGAAGCATGCTTGATATTCAGAAAGCACACCATACTACCAAATGTGTTGGCCAGACAGCATCCTTCTACTGTTGTTCAGAGCAGCAGAAAACCCATAATGACTTAAGTCCTGCCCTCAACGACGGTAGGAGTTAAATAAGGAAAATGAAGTGAGCTAACGCTACTTGTATGTAGATTCCCTGGTACGCTGGAAACGTCAGCGTCCGAAGAGCGATTACCAACAGGAACACCAGTAGCCAGGAAGCGAAACCTGCAAAGACAAAGTTCACTCTTGCTGTTATATTCTATGTTCGATGCGTTGCACGGTTATTGCGCTTCTGCCGCGTTCTACCGTAGTTGACTTTGTCGCTCCTCCTTCCCATGTCCTCCGACATTGGATCCATAACTGCACCGCTTCCGCCACTAGTGCAATAAAATCATCTTATGAACGTTGTCGGAAGCTTCGGCAATAACGTCCGTATCTAAGTATATGCACATCTAGAAAAAACGTGTAATTGTAGGTTCGTTGTTTAGTCTGCTAGGACGCTCCATTTACGGTTGGATGTGTAAACCTGCTGCCTACATATGTACATGCGTACACACCTCCCGTACCAGCCAGATGCCCCTCTGTGATGACCTAAATGAGATAGAAACTGCGAGGAAAGTCAAGCATGAGTGCCACTGTTGAGCGTTTGGAAGCAGCCACTTGCTGGAAAGACGCATCTGCAGGATGTTCAACTGCGCATGAGCTCTAAGCGTGCAGAAAAGCAACGCCGAGAAGTTTTGTTGTAGGAATCTCAACAAGCCATGGCCGATTGGATTTCAAGCCACAGAGGATCCAGATGTTTGCCTACCCGATAAACAGAAGCGGAAGATACTCAGTGCCAGCGTCTGCTTTTAGGGAAGCCCTTGGGCTTTTCTTATGTGGAAAACAACACGCAATACATCCTAGTTGAATAGCGCTAAAGCAGCCATCGTAGTGTACACGAGATGCGGCTTGGGTTTAAACAGATGTGGAGAGCTCTGTTAGACGGCCCATACTTTCCCGGGAAAAAAGGCGTCTATTGTGGTGTATAACCCACAACAGTATACAGATACGCCTATAAGCTACAGAAGAAGAAAAGTACAACCCAGAAGAGACATGAACGGAAAACCCGCAAAGAGCGCTCAGTGAACGTATCGTTGAGTTACCCCTACTTTTCATACAACCCACCCCCAGAACAGCCGGTTGAGAAAAATATGAAGAAGCCAACTATCCATGAGCGGATAATAGACTTGGCTTACATATTCACGATATTTAGCGCATGCTCATGTTGCAAGGCGTCCCATGTGAGTTTACAGCTTTCACAAATTTCAGACATACGTATATGTGTGTATTGACTTACCATCTGGAAGCGAGTAAGCCAAACATGCTTCGCTCAAAGTAAATGTAACTTCCTATGAGTGCATAATATACTCCATACGCTCGGTCTAGTGGAAACAGTCGAAAACTACATCGCATGCAAATCAGAGCAGGCGTGTATGGTTGGGACTCCAAAGATCTTTGAGAACGCATACACGTGCTATTTTACTTGCACAGTCCATTTTAAGTTTGTGTACTGGCGTGGGTGACGAGACCTACGCCTAGAACACATTTGCCATATTCATTGACATCTAGAGTCTTTGTGTCATAATGTCGAAGAAACCACTTGATGCCCTTTGCACAACCATCCGGAATGCATTCCGGTGGCTTTAGGGCACATAGCATGCGTTAGCATATGTTCGTGCAGTGGCTCAACGCCTAGTATTGTTTTTGCATGTACGCTAGCGCCCCCCCATAATTCAGGTACTTCGATTGCAACTAAGGATTACCTCTGAACACCATTCATCCAACCCACATACAAAATACATTTTGGTGTCGGGCCACAAAAAACGGTGTTAGTTGCATTTAAGTTGGATATGAGCCCCACTGCATTAACGTCGCTTGTTCTGCTCATAAGTGCACCCATGTCTTGCACGAAAGCCCTACACAATCAGGTCGGTACTCTTTGGAGCATTGTCCTACTCGTGAGAGCATACTACTCCACCATAACAAAATGCTAGCAGCTCTGAATCTCATGCAGGCTGACTCCAAACCATCTATTAGCTACTTGTGTGCCACCGTACTCATGTGTTGATCAAACGGCGACTAGGTGTCGTGTCGCATGAAGGCACGGGCGTCCTACACTGATAATACTAAGGCACTGTCATACATCATCTTAAGATGTCTGCCTCGGCGTGTAGCCCTTCTGGTGTCGCGCTTCGTGTAAGACGGGCACAAACCATATCAAAACAAGAAAATGCACAAATACGAGCACCCTCATCCTTGCGCTGCATTATTCCATTGAAGTCGCACACGCAGTGCGCACCCCTGCACACATTCTACTGAAGTCTGGGATACGATCCTTCCTTACACACGTTACCCTGTGGACGATCCCGCATCTGCAACAACCTTTTCCAGGATTCGGCGGCCCTTATAGACTATGATTGTGCAGGTCATCCAGTGTTTCAGGTTTTAACTTAGAGCGCGACTTCACTTGTAAAGAAAGAAGCTGGGAGCGCGATCAGAGTGAAGGTTAACTAAAGTACCTAAACAGATTCTAGGATATGGATCATGTGTGACAAGACTACCAACGCTGTACTACAGTTCACTGAACGCCAAACCGTCAGGTAGCCACTACAATTGTTTAACGTGGAGTGAGCCATGCTGTCTTGGACCATAGGTCCAGAGAGGGCGTCGTTCGGTCATTATGAGTCCTTCCAGTATGGTCAATCAGTGGTCGTCTGCAATATTTGTCTTTCGAGTATCGTGGTACCCGCACACCGTACAGTCCATTTCATGAATTATATGTCATAAATCCAAAACTCTATGATTGATGCTCTACTGTTGCCGTATTTATCTAAAAACGGCCATGGAAGCAACCTGCGTGTGAGACGCTAAACTGGCAGCTTGTGTAAAGACCTCCGCAGCGAGAGCAAAAGGACTACTCTGTGGTCTCTTCTAATGCCTCTTCAATCTCAAGCAAAATTTTGACAGACAGTCAGTAGGCTCTTTTGAATGACATGCAACAGCGTTTGCCACCCAAATACCCCTAATACTACTCGACATGTTCCTAAGACTCAGGATTTGTCCACAACCCTTCCAGAGCAGAGGCCGCAGCAGAAACAGGGGGGCTATTTGTGACCGTCAGGCGGCCGCTGCTGTTGGTCCTGTCCTTGCTGCTACCATTATCAACAGCAGCAGCAGACCAGTCTGTGATACTGATGTGCGAAGCATCAAATGGTGCCTCAAAGGCGTCGTCGTCCGGTTCCACCAGCAGCCAGTCATCCGTGTCCCCCTCTCCGCTCACTGCAAAGATACCGCCACAATATGTTTCCCACGTTGTCACTTTGTTTATCAACTAGTGTATCTGTCCACTTCTGCTCCCCTGTAGCTACATGCGTCGCTGTTTTGATTTTTTTTCTGCACCACTGTGTGTGCCTCAGTGACTTAGCATCCTCCTTTAGCAACCTACGATCATCTATGACCATATATTAACACTTATTATTCAGCGGCTGTCCAGTTTTCTCTCTTAATCAATCTCTGCCTATGTCCTCGTTGCTGTCTGTCACACTCTGCCCCTTCCCGCTGGTCTTGCTTTGCACGCATTGCTTCAAACCTGGAAATGAGTCCTCGGGCGATTGAGGCCACCGGGCATTGGATGGCCACAAGCTGCAAAATCAAAAGAACAATTTAGCTAATTGATACACTACTAAAGCTTTAAAACACTGCTGGGAAGCACCTACACCAGCCAGTATATCTAAATCTTCGTAAATGCATTAAGCTCGTTATGATCAGCGCCTGCTACAAGGCATCCAATCTGCATATGTACACCAAGAAGTACGGATGCCACTGAACGCGTATGTTTGGATGCAACGTGTATACATGCCTTATGTATGCACTTACGAACCATATATAGTGTGGAACGCTGTTCCATACTGACTGTATGAGAAGTGGAAAAGAATGCAGGCAAACATGTACACAGTACATGAAACATATGTGCATGTGGATAGACATAGAAGACTTCTATATGCAATTTAGAATGCATATCTCTTAGCCAAATGGATCAACCACCCGGCGAAAGGAGGGCAAGAAGTCTTGGTGCACCTGCACCATGCCATATCTGCGCCGCTGCAAGAACTATATCACGTACCTTCCAAAGTCTGGGGCATTCAACACTGAGGCCACCATTTCTAAAAGTCCTGCACAAGGATAAACCTCTGCCCTAAACCTTTTAATCCAAATCTCTGAACCTGCTCCGCATACCTTATGTCTTACCCCTTGGACCTTAAAACGAGTGTAACATATCATTATATCCATATAGCATCAGGAAAGGCTTTGTTGAGTCACAGCGCATTAGTGCGCGGCGCACTAGGTTTGGGTTTAGTGGACCTCACCAGGAGTGCTATGAGGCGGATCAACTCCTCGATTGTTGCAGAAAGCGATGACGTTGGGCCGAAGTGTTTCAGCTGAATCTACTACTTCGCCGGTTAAAAAGAAGAGACACTTGCTGCAGCAAGAAAGGCAAAGCTCAATAGTTACTCACAGTGGCAGATTTACCCTAGGAATATGAGTACTTGCAGCAGCACCAGCAGATAAAACAAACAGTGTGGCTACCAGGTCACCCTGCTGGACTTCAATGCAGCAGAGTAGGAATCACATGTGCGACCGTTCACGCATGGTCTATTGTACACATTTGCCGGGCATATAAATGGCTACTGACTCAAAGCTTGCTGATTAAGGTACACAATCATGCGTGTGCCTGCATATTTACATGTGTAGAAACACATAAACGAAAGCACTAACCGAGAAGGACTAAGTGAAATCTCTGAGCAGGTGTCTGCATGCCACGGAGTATTCCTGGCAACCTACCTGGCTGCTGGTTCGAAAAGAATTGGGGAGACCTGTTCGTTGCTGCAGCTGAAGGATTGTAGGAGCCTAATCTGTAGCTGCTGCTCCAGAGTCTGTGCTTGTTCCTGCAGCAGCCCTTTCTGTTCGATGTAATGCTGCAGCTGGTGGATGCGAGAAATCCACATCAGTACCTGCTGATCCCTTCGAGATGTAACAAGCTGCCGCAAGTGAACGGCGCCAGATGCAGATTTTCCTCCCACTGCTGCACGACGGGCACATCCAGCAAGCAATACTGCAGCGGCCGAAGAAACAACAGCTCCCTTGCTGTGGTAATACACATTGTTATACCTGCTCCATTTAGCCTGCTGCTGGAGCGGTGCCTCCTTCTGACGCTCCTGGAGGAGCATACCAAAGGGACCTGGATGCAGCAGCCGCTGCTGCTCTGAAGGTGTCTTGATACAGCGTGAATGGCTGTTTCGGCTTGCTTTCTCTGTGTTCATGACTGATGACGAGCCTGCTGCTGCAGATACGGCAGCTGCTACCATTTCTTGCGGATTCCACGAAAAAAGAGGTAAGGATTCCCGCGCTGGTTGCTGCAGCACAGGGCGTTGCTGCTGCTGCCGCCCCCGCCTCCGCTCCTGCAGATGGTGCGCTGTCAGTTCTAAGAGCACACAGTCAGAATCCTCGCTCTTGTTCTCATAAGCATTAGCACCAGCAGCTGAAGTTCCTTGAGCTGCTAAAGCATTCGGCGTGCTTGTGAAACTAAAACTTTCGGTGGCGTGCCTATGGCTTTCATGTAAAACGGGGTTCTCAGCAACACAGACGTGTGGTCTTCCCGCAGAAGCACCAGCTGACGGCACACCAGACGTGGTAGAATAAACGTGCGGTGCGGTAGGAGCAGCAGGCAAAGGCGGCAAATGATCATGACAAGTGTTGGAAATGATGGCAGAAATAAGAGGCTGGCCTTTCCGCAGGAGCCGTGGCATGGTATCGGCTCTCAGTGCGTTGCCTACCATACTACTGTTGCTGCTGCCTCTGCTGCTTCTTTGAAATCCAGTGGTACTGGTAGTTAGGGTGTACATCCTATCAAGAAGTCGGCTGCAGTTGTCCGTGCCTCGTGAGGGTGTCTCAACATGATTGTACTGTCGCTGCGACGCACTGGTTCCGCTGTTGGATCTGCTAAGCACAATGCTGCTTTCGGTGCAACTGGGACTACCTCTGCTGTTATTCCTCCTATTCTGTGGTGCAACCATCGGACGTCCCTCACCTCCCGAACTGCTGTTGCTCTCATAGTTTGCTTTCTGGCTCTCGAAATTCTTTTCGCAGCTGTGTAGATCTTCTTGCAACCAGCTAATCCGGCCCCGTTTAGATATCTTGGGTAAGGCAGCTGATGCTAGTGCTGCCTCTATGGCAAACATGTTTCGCTGTGAAGAGGCTGCGGGTACGTTCTTAGTTGTGGAAGCTTCCACCATTGGCTGAAAGTAGTCGGCACTGGAAGTCTTCCTTGAGGTACCTGGTGGTCCTGCTGGATGCCGCTGCTGCCAGCGCTGCTTCTGCAGTAGCTCAAGCTGCTTCTGTGCCGCCCCACTTCTTTTCAGTTTCCTACCTAAGACATCAAGCTGCCTCTGCAGTCGCTGTCGGAGCAACAGTTGCTGCAGACCGGGCAGCAGCAGTTGCTGCGGCAGTGGCACATGCAGGACTGCAGCAAGCTGCTGCAGCATGAGCGAAAAACACGTCAGCGCCCAATGCTTTGCAGCAACGCGACCATTCGACGCCTTATGGGCGTCCAAAGAAGAATCGGCGCTGCTCAAAACTGCGAAAAGAACACCCAAAATTAAGAGTGGTTCGCCCTCGTGATTCACGGTACCACATGAAATAAGTTTCAGGGTTTATGAAGGGGCGTTTAGGGTTTCACATTTGAAGCACAAGGTTGTATCACCTACATAGAAACGCCTCTTTATAATGTAGCCAGCTGGATTCTAGCTCATCGCCAGGAGCACCATGAATGCCATCAGGAACTGCTCCTGGTACCGATTTTACATATGCCTCCGAGAGGAGTGACGTCGCGCTGAAAAGCCTCAGTATTTGATCCACCCGCTGGCATCTTAGCTGCTGCAAAGCAGCTTCCATGGCAAGAAGCTCGCTTCTTAGAGTCGCCTCCTCTGCAGGGCTTGCTCCTGCTAGTACTGTCGTACTAGCAGCTGCCGCTGCTGATACGGCTGCTACAGCAAGGGATGGAGTCACACCAAGGATCTGCCGTCCTCCTGTAAGCAGCATTGATTCCGTCGATGCTGCCACAGCGACAATTCGTCGCGATGTTGAAGGTCCAGGTGATGGCTTACCACATGGAGCCCGCTTGGCCCCAGGTGAGGTGATTATGCCAGAGTCCGCCGGAACAGCACAGAGGTCGGTAGCAAAATATTCAGCACCGGTTATTCCCCCTGTGGCCCGCATTAAAGTTAATGGATCGAGCCGGAGCCCAAGCTGCTGCCGCCTACTGTCGCTGCAACTTGCAACGTTTACACACATCTCCAGTTCAGCTGCAGTCTGGAACAGTTGAGAAAGGCTTCGGTGCTGCTGCCGTCGCTGCGCCAGTAGGATGGAGTGCACGCATATTGCTGAGGAGAAAGAAAAACATTTTTAACATAAATCAAAGGTATTCAATAGGTATGCAAAACAACCTCTGGCAGTGTGCTTGCAGTCTCTTTGCACTGTTTACAGTCATTTCATCCCACCCCCTCTCGGCTCTCTATTCAATTGCTGTCTGCTCCCTGCGCACTGGTCCTTGTTTACTTTGTTCAAATCAAGTAGATGGAGAAAATGCATGCACGCAAAGCACTCACACCTTTTAGCCTGATATACTTTTAGTTGAGTTATTTGCCTGCGCCGTACCTTCTTGTAACTGCTTTTCCCTTTTATGTCGAAGTTCACGCAATTGTTGCACCCGTCCCTGTTTTTGTTCTAGGTGTGTCAGCAGCTCCGGCTGATCTACCCGTTGCTTGGGGCGTTCCTGGGCCCCTCTGCGCGGCTCGGTGCATTCTTTGGTTTTGACGTGTTGTTGCAAAAAGGGAAGCAGGTGCTGCTGCAGTTTCTGCTGCAGGAGCACCTGCTGCTGACGGAGCAACAGCAGTTGCCACTTTCTTTGTTGTAATGATAAGCTGCAGCAGTGGCCGCAAATTAGCTGTCTAGGAAAACGGCCACAAGCAGGGCAGCCAAAAAACACAAGCTGCTGCTGCGGCTGTAAGTCGTGTTTCGAGTGTAGGTGCTGCTGAAATTCGATATTTCTTGTCTCATGAGGCACAATACGTGTAAGCTGGCATATAGGCAACTCAGGAGAGGTACTCTTGGTGCCGTCAGTCCACCCTGATCTGCGGTGATGAGGATTACTGAAGCTCTGAGGGGTGTACGGTTGCAGGAATTGATTTTGCTGATGCCACTGTTTGTGCTGCTCGGAAAACTGTGGGTGCTGCTTATGTTCCTGCTGCTCATGCTGCAGTGAGGCATTTTGTAGTACCTGTAGACGCAAATGCGGGGAAGTGGGGGGTAGTTGCAGCAGCAAGCAGTACGCATCCAGTCGCTGTTGCTGCTGTTGTTGCAGGAGAAGCTGCTGTTCATGACGAAGCCTGAGTGCCTGCTGCTCCCGCAGCTGTTGCTGCAGCAGCAAAATTTCTGCTTGGCGCTGCTCCAGCAGGTCCGTAGCGTATGCCTGGACGGGCGGCTGCTGGTGGGTCATCTGCTTCTGCCTCAAGCGTTGAGCATACTGCTTCTCTTCCTCCTTAGGTGCATTTTCTTTGCATAGTGCCTCTGGAAGTGCTTTCATCGCTTATAGTCGCTATTGGGGGGCCCCGGTGGGCCCTCTGAAGAGTGCTGCAGGTTCCAGTGACGTGCGTGCCCCCAGACGCCTAGTGCATCCATTGCGCAGCCTCACGAATGCGAAGAAATAATATTAGGGGGCTTTAAGTGCATAAACTTCTGGATTGAACGCAGAGTCAAAGAGGTTTCCCAGACAGATGAGCCGCTGCCTGTGTCCACTGGTCGGCATGAGACATTGAAAATGCCACTGCTGTTGATATTGGTGGGGGTGTACCTGTTATTGTGTTATTTCCCTTAATCGACTAAATTAGTTGATGTCGATGCAATGTTGTCGTGCAACACTGTCGTGTCAAGGTCTCTGAATGCACATCCCAGCATGCAGGTGGGGTAGCGACAGCACTGGCCAACTCAAACCCTACATTTAAACTTCCCATCCTTCCACCTTCACATTTCGCACAAAAGAAACTTTTCAAGCTGCCTTCTTCAAACTTTCTAAACATTTGGGGGGAATCTTCCACCATAGCACAAGTGGCAAATCTCCTAGGTCCCATCCGCTGTCTACTTTGTTTTTCGTAGGCACTACAACTTAACGGGACTGCCTCTACCCTTCGCTTGGTCCTCAGCTTAATAATTCAACTCCCTTTATCATAGATTAAGCAATTTGGGGATTCAGCATCAGCCTGGAGGAAACGCATTCTAGTTTGTGATCTTTAGCTATAGTTACCGTTCGTGCAAATTGCTGAATCAGAACACTATACTGCAGCTCGAATGTCTAGTAATCATGGAACAGCTGAGAGCTTCTGTCTGCTTACTGTAGCATATCTCACTATAGGCATGACCATTTAGACCAGATTGCAATTCGCAGCATGAAACTCTCCAGTAAAATGTCTTTGTAGGGAGACGCATCACTCTAACCAAAATACACTCAAGAGAAAGTCACTCAGCACTCTCAAAGCATTTTCTCCTTCACCTGCTGCTGCCCTTGAGACTTCCCGGGATGAGGGTAGAAGAACCGCTAGGGTGGGCGTAGTGTAACTCTCTAAGGTCTCCGACCATTCATAGCTGGTTTCACAAAGCATCGAGCTTACATGTACAAAATATTGCTTCTGGTTGTATCGAGCTAACAGTACACTCTTAAAGGATGTACGAACATATTAGCCAACGAGTCAATCCCTCACCAATTTTTTGTTAAGGATAACTAGTGTATTAGCAACTCTAAGAGCAGGTTCGCCCAAGAAATCTTTTCCATTGCACGTAAAAACACAAACACACATCTTCCCTGCCCTTAGTAAAGATAAACTGCATATAGGATGGGGAGGAGTCGCAAAGTTTTCACTACTGCCCAACTAGACGGACGCGTAATTAATTGCATATGACAAAAGCAATAGTGTGCAAATACTTGTTCAAAATGTCGACGATAAGAAAGACACACACTGGCCCACAACGAAAGAGGGAGCAAACCAATGCGATGCAACGACGCGACGGCTCGCTGACTTTAGAGTGCTTAAATGCAAGTGCCTTCTGCAACAAGGCTAGTTAAGTGGGTACAGGATATCATTAACGGACCAGTTGAGCAGTGCCTCTGCCCCTCATCGCGCAATGGCTGCATCAAAATACAGCCGGTATATTCAGCACAGTCGATTTCAAAGCAACGGAAGGAACATTGAGAAGCTTGTAAAAGCAAATACCGGGAGTTATCTGCACATAAATCTGAATGGAGAGAATATCTTATCAGTAATAACAGCAACGTTTAAAGTAATTTTTGATAAAGATAGCGATCGCAGGCCGATGATTTGCTTAGGAATACCAAAAAAAGGAAAGAATATCGTGCTTGCAGACTTGCGTTATTTGCTACCTAAAGACCTGCATCGAGTTTTGTGGTCTCTCCAAATTTTCGGCAGATCAACACAGTAAGCATGAGCAAGGGATCGTGAGAAGACAGCAAGCGGTCCCAGCCACATCCACGCAATTCTCTTTGTCTGGCCTATGGTGTAATTCTTGAAACATGCCCATCCACCGATACCGAATCTCCAGGATCGAGATGCACAACCGACCATCCCCTTTTATTAGCAAGTTCTTGACCCTCTTTTACTTTGCACCGACATTCGCGTGCTCTGGCTGCTTTTCTGTGAATATCTCCGCTGCAGGAGGCAGGTGGTGACCCCGGACCGCCAGAATTACGCGTGGATCAGAGAGAGGCCTTTCAGTGTAAACCACGTACAGGGGAGAGCAAAGGGTGAACGAAGGTAGTGTTGTATTAAGAACACACTCAAAACAAGGAAGACCATCAAGCATTGGATATGGTGAGTGGAGATTCGTAAATTCTGCAGAAGGGTGAGGTTAATGCACTGTTTGTGAATCTGCCTTAAGGTGGTTTTCGCTGGCCATCCTATGATTAATGTGTAGGCGAGTAATGAAGATACTCCACAAAGCACTTACGAGCTTCGGAGCCTGTTCGTAAGGATACTCATGAAAAAAATAGTGGAGTTTTGAGACATGAATTAAGAGGAATTCCGAAACTTTGTGAGCCGAGGCAGAACTGGAGCAGGGAATGAAATGGGCAGATTTTGCTAAGTCCTTTAACAACGACGTGAAAGCTCTCCAGGCCCTTTATCTCAAACAATCCGATACCAATGTCTATCGTTCAATATGACCAAAG